ATTCTCCCTCGTGCATGCACTTAAGATTAGTTCAACTAAGATCATCTACACTGTATTTGTCATATCTTCTGTATATTTGAACGGAGAGCACAAGCAAGTTGTATAGATTAGCTAATTAGCATAGCTGAAACAGATTGTTTCTACCTACTCGCTTACTTTATTTCATTATTCAGCTCAAACAGCTTACTCATCTCATTGTTTACTTCTTTTCTATTGATGACATTCATTAGATATTCATATACATACGTATATGTGTATCTATGTATCTGTCAAATTATAAATATTTTTCATCATGTATGTGTGTGTGTGTGTGTATGTGTGTGTGTGTGAGCTATATTAGGCCCACTCACTACCCAATTCACATGCACACACATACACACTCATACATTATACATATATTCACATACATAAATAACAACTAAACAACTTAATTGAAATTGCTCGTTTCATCCATTTGTATTATTAAGTGCATTTTAGTTCATAGCTGTTTTATTCAGTCCAGATCAGACCAGTTCAACGCAGCTGAATTTAGCACAACTGAAAAAAAGTTTAATTTTGATTGCATATATTCAAATATATTAAAATCATTTTATTGTATTTGCATAACATTCAACTATTACTGTAGAAATTTTTTGCAAATTAGCTCACTTTTTTGTTGCGATTGTATTCATAGTTAGCTTCTGAATCATTGCAAGCTTTATTATGTACATTCTTAATCAACTTTTCATAACAATCATTTCCCTCTCTCTTATTATACACAAAAAGAACTGGAGAGATAGATTGTAGAATAGGAGAAGTAGAGAATGAAAGTAGTATAAACAAATGCAAAGGTAGGAGAAGTAGAGATTGAGAGAGCTGGAATAAACTTGCTTCCTTTTTGCTTCCTGGATCTTTTCCTAAATTTATCCTTAAGATTTTCAAATTTGCATATATTCGTCATATGTTTACTTGTCACCACACACTCTTCTATACTTTACTTTCAGTATTGCGGAAAGAGATTATACTTTTCATGTTACATACACCTTTCTTACTATTTGCTTCTTTACTTTATTATGAATTTTAATAATTATAATTAATATTGTTATTAACTATTATTTATTATTATTATTATTATTATTATTTACTTATTTAATCATAATAAGCTAATAACTAATGTATTATCAAGTATGTGTATTTGATTATACATTTGTCTTCTTTTCATTTATTAATTCCAAATTTTTGAATAAAAATTTATGAATAGCATTCAGTCCATTTCAGTCAAGTGTTGACTATTGAATAATGATGACGTGTGTTTAACTTTAGCTATGTTTGCTATTTGGTTAATATTCATCATTTTACAGGAAACAATCGAATAATCTATGAAGTACGATAATTTGAAATGCTTTTTGCTTAGTTTTGTTAGATACTGTATTTGTCTGATCTTAGATATCACTTATTTATTAGTACGATCAGAAAATTATGAATGATATAAATAAAAAAAAAGAACGACTTTATAGACTGATTACTTGTTTATATTGTTTTAACAACAAATTATTTTGAATAATTCTGGATTACGGCAGATTTCCTGCCTTGATTATTGCATTGTGTGATAGTTGCGTTTTTTTCATATTTGTAAAATTTCGAAGTGATTTTATTTTGCATCAAAACTATCTGTCAAGCATTATCTTCAATGAAGTGATTGTATTTTTCATGCAAGAATAAGGCGATGCGTGATATAGTTATCTGCAGCTTGAAAGAGCTGATCACGTGAGATTTCGTAAGGACAAATGTGATGACCCATTTTGCGCACCTTTCTTTATTGTCAGCAATTGGGTCGATGATACTGATTTGAGACGTTCGGACTTGAAAAAGTAATAAAATTTGCAAGAATTTAGTCTTTTATGGATTTTACTCATATTGTATGTGTATAAGTAATGCATAAAACCTGAGCTAATGAGATAATCTGAAATTTTTAGTCAAACGTGAACTTTAAATTACTACAAAAGAAGCTATAAAAATTAGAATCATTCCGAAGAATTGTTAAAATTTCTTCAAAATTGTTTTTTGATTAAGCATTTACGCTATTATAGTAGATGATTA